CTTCATATACATCCCAATACTGTCTTCTTAAACCTTATTCTCAATGTTTTATTATTATCACTAAACTAGTTTGATCTCATTTGTGATTTTCATCATGTCGTGCTAATCAGGTATAATAACTTGGATCAACCTACATCTGTCAGATTCTATGTTGTTTGTTTGATTTCTAAATTTGTTAGTAATGTTTCATGATGGTAAAATTCTCAAGGTTCATAGACCGAAGTCGAACACTTGAAAATCATTTAACTCCGAAGAGCAACAGTCACCTAGTATGTTACTTCGTGTTTAGTGAGATTGACCCCTATTTAACCTTAGTTTCGTACCAATTTTTGTTGCGACTTTAAGCGCACCTAGTTATCACATGATTTATTCTCCAACTGAAATACGACTTATACAACCTTAGTACTGTGCTAACCCAATAACGTTCGACCGGTATGAACAGCCTAGCGTCCTTATTGGTTCTTTGTCCGCCTAGCCCGTCCAGTTGAGTTCGGAACGCCAATAACAGCTCTCACTATGCGAATAATTCATTTCAAGCATACTTGGTTTATATACCAGCCAAACAGACCGCATCACACCATAAAATAACAAAGCCAAAATGTGGCTGTGAACGTGAGAGACGGTAATTAATAACTTGAACATGGTTTAGGGACAGTGAATCGTATAATAGTAATCTATAGGTGAAAATGAGAGTACATATATATTATAAATCAATTCCAAGTCCTCAGAAGTTACCCGTAATTTAATCTTCACTAGGATATAACAAGTTTAACTCATCAGCAAAAGCAGTTATCATCTCAGGTGAACTGAGGCACCTTAGTGTGTTTCATGTGGGATCACTCCGTTTTGTAATAACTACAAAATAAAAGCCTATCAACCAAAAAAATATGGAAGTATCGCAAATTCCATAAGTGAATTTAAGTATGAGTATGAATCTTGCATAATACCCGATTTCTGGTCTTGTTATTTCAAAAATATATTCCGTGTCGAATGTTACAAAATCCGGATGATGCAGGTGAAGTTCGTTTACTTTTATAAAGACTTGGAACAGATGAATATAACAAATACGGAAATTTCATAGTACCGCGGAATCTATCCCGAATAATCAAGTTCAAATACTACCTGAAACTTTCAAATACAATCCTCTACACTGAATATTCGTTATCAGTGTTTTCAAATGTCAAAACCTGCATATACGCTGGAAAAGTAAACCGACTAAACGGCTAAAAATTGATGATGTTAGAACAGATTGATTTGGGAATCAAGCTGACATGATGATGTGATAGAATAGGAAACCTTCATATTTGGAGTCAGTAAATGATCATAGCATCCAAAAAGACAGCAGCAACCTGTTGGCAAGCCACCATTACCATGTTAGTCTTTGGAACACGTTTATTCAATGAGATTATGTCTATCAATAAACCATGAAAACCGACACTTAACACGTTGACCACAAAGGCCACTGCCCGTTGAAGAAATACTATACTAGTCAAGATCTTGCAGGGGAAATTTGAGGCAACGTTCACTGAGCTAAATCAAGAGAACGTTTGCAACTTTTAAGATTAATTTCCAAGGTGAAAGGCTATTGACATAAGTGAGTGGCCAACCTGTATATCTTCAGTTAGATACAACTTGCGATACTACACTGATAACGAACAACACGTGGCCCCAATTAGAATGCCGTGCACTCAACTATCTGAACACACATTGCTCCAAACGCTTAAGGGAACATAGTGAAGTGGTTGGGAAAGTAAAAAGCCAGGTGCAATTCAGAAAACGCAAATTTAGTGGCAATTATTATCGCTCTAACCGGCATAATTTAGATTTATTAAGATTGGATTGAGAAGACTGATACACTGTACGCATTAAATAAAATATCCATAATTATATCTATTCTTTTGTTCAGAACATGAAAACAACTGTATGTAGCACTACGCATTTCAAGGGATTCGCGTATGTGTATGCATATAATTGAGTGAATGAACCTAATTGAAAAAAGCACTTTTTCTAGGTAGAATTGTATAAGTACACATTTCATAAAGTAAATGGGGTTGCTAAGAAAGTTCTATTCAGAGGTCATCACATTGATATTAAGGTTGAAAGGAACTTTTAATTTCAATATATAAACGCTAATCTAATACTTTAATCTGAAACAACACGTGGCCCCAATTAGAATGCCGTGCACTCAACTATCTGAACACACATTGCTCCAAACGCTTAAGGGAACATATATAAACGCTAATCTAATACTTTAATCTGAAAATAAGAATGTACTTGCCCGCTATTAATACTTGCACTTGAGATATTAATCAGAGCTGGCAACCTACAATAACTTAAAACACAAATAACTAGGTGAATAAAATTGTTTGACAATGCGATCTTACTAGTTTTCATTAGATACATTGCTTCTAAAAACAGTACTTCCGTTTCCTTCCATTGTAAAGGTGGCTGTTTGAAGGTGAGTCCTGCCAAACTTGTACATTAAGTTCATTACTTCATATCTGTATAATTGTTATTACTGATGGGGATACAAAATAGTGTATATGATTAAGGACGAACTACAAACCTTGGTCTTACGAAAGATCACTCGTGACTTAGTGAACACGAGATTGGTACAGAAAATTATCACCTTAATTAAATCACTAATTAAAGAAAGACCATAATGAGATTGATTGGAAAGCTTAGAAACGAAAACCAGTTCAAAACTAACTGCATGAATAAGTGCCAATTAATTAATTACGTACACAGAATCTGACCACTATCAGCAGCTGTGCAGGCATGTTTGGGATGCGATTCTCTCCCTCGAAGTGCAAAATGTTACTTCAAGATTGGGTTTCATTGGCACCTGAACTAATGATAGAGAGTGAAGTAGTTGAGCGTGTTGACCGCTTCGCTTACCTTGGGAGTCTCATCAGCCCTTGTGGTCTGGAGTGTGCCGAAATCCCAGCACGGATACAGAAGGTTCGTCTAGCTCTCGCCAACTTGCGTCATTTATAGCGTAGGCGAGATATCCGTCTAGCAACCGGAAAACGGGTTTACTGCAAAGCAGCTCGTTCCGTCCTACTTAATGGCAGTGAAACATGGTCGGTAAGAGTAGAGGATATTCGTGGGTTGTTACTATTCGATCATAGGTGTCTTCGAAGCATTGCTCGTATATCCTGGGGCTACCGAGTAAGTAATGTAGTTGTTAGGAAACGGATACAAGGTAAGGATGGCGAATCGATTGATGAAGTAATGAAACTTCATCAGTTGAGATGGCTGGGACACGTATCACGTATGGCCAACCACCGACTTGCAATGTTTTATGATGTAGGAGTAGGTTGGGAGAAAGCTAGGGGTGGCCAGACCAAAACATGGCACAAATCCATGAAGTCACTGACAATTGGACTGAGCCATGTTGGTAGGTGTAGACTACCTGGATGGGATCCGTGAGACGATAGCAATCGATGGTTAGAGACCTTGAATGACATCGTTTACAATGGCGAAGATGCATTCACTCTTTGTGCTCTGAATTCTTTGTGTCCCTTTCTTTATTCTCTTTCCACATTTATTTCACTTGATTATACTCCTTGAATAACATCTTCAAACCGTAATCTTTCTGATTACTGTTTATACTCTTACTACTCCTACCACTATGAAATTCGAATCGACAACTGCATCTCTGTGCTAACGTGGTATGGCAACTCGAACTGATGTACGTACGTACGAAGTTCTATGTTGTGACTGACTGACGTACACAGAATAATTTGGTAGGAAAATCAAACTTACACCATGTAAGCTTTTAATAGATTTTTCTCATACGATAAAATCATGGGTAAGAAAATGTAACATATAAAAAGAAACTAAGTTGTTTAAATTATAATAATTGTAAGTAGTATTGGCCGTGCGGTGTATGTAGACTTATTCACGCAAATGAACAACCTTTTTTAGATTGGACGAATAATATAAAAACCAACAGAACACAGATCCGCTTCCTTCTCGTACGATGAATATCTCTACTATTACATCGAATTGAGAGTGGATTACACTATAAAAGTTTAGAATTCTCGCCAGGGTTCCAATGATAATTTTAATATGATCGTAAACGATATTAGCATGAGCAGTTGCTCATGCTGTATGGTTAAATCTCAAGGTTTTCAAAACAAGTCAGACTATTTGTCAGTTACTTAACACTCAACCGAGATTTTTAGTCTATCTAACTCGATTTTAATCATAAGATGCTAATTCGATAACGAAACATGTAAAGATCTGTTTTCTAACATATCGAAATAAGATGTACATTAGTGTAACGTTGTATTAATGTAAGCATGAAGACACTTTCAAAGTCATAATACTCTCTCTGTACACCAGAAAGTGACTACTGAAAATTCATTTTTGGATCTTTACATAAACAGTAAACCCATTATTAAAACATGTACAATTGCATTATTTTTGTCTGTATGTTCATATCTAATATCTGATGTTACAGTAGTACAAGTACTAAAAAATCATTCAATTTTCATTAGGATAGTGACCACTCGATAGCGTAGACAACTGGCTCGTCATAAACCTCAGATATTCGATACTAGGACAGTGTATATGATAGAAATGCCAAGAAATTCCGGTAAATCTACAGCTTATAAAGTACAACCTGGAACATCTACTTTGGTTCTAACTTATGTTTTGAGATCACCAGGTTTTCCTAAACTCACGATCTGCTCCACCACAAAAACTAAGAGGCAATGACTTGATTTATAAACTACGAACTAAAAGGACTGAAACTGATAATTACTGCAAAAAGTCCAGATGTAATGTAAACGTTTGTGAAGCTTAGTACTGGTATAATCAAAGTCCCTACTATTCTAGACTTAAACGTCCGAATAAAATTTTTCGAAGATATATTACAGGTCAAACTCTAAATTCAAAGAGCAGGTGATATTCGTCCGAGACCACTAATTTGACCTGTGAACATCAAAATTTGAAAATCCATGATACGACATACGAAAATGGAGACTAGGAAGTCTTAACACAACACATTCTTTATTTAGTGCATTTCTTGATAATTTCATTATATGTCTATAAAAAAACGGGGTTCCACGAAATTAGAATATGGTATGTGCAACCTGTCAGACAGTTTCTACATGCATATGAACTTTGATACTTTTATGTGTGACTAACCTAAACATCTTATTAAATGAATAGATGTGGCATATATGAGGGTATTTGTGTAGATGCAGTAAACATTGTTGCAGATAAAATTGAACGCACCCATCAGTGTAATCACTGATATAAGTTAGACATTTCACAAAAGATAAAGCGCATAAACTAAATGAAAAACACAAGTGCCTATGATGGTTTCTGTTTTACATCAATGTATAAGGAATAGCAGATTTATATAAACTTATACGAACATCATATAATTAAACGTGATTTACACAAACTGATCCAATAGCTGGCGAAATTGGAAAACTATACTTGCAGAATAGATCATCAATATCATTGTTTACGAGTGCAAGTTCTCATAAGAGAAATATAAAAGACTATGGAAGTGGTGTGTATCACGAATTTACGGAAGCACAATAGGTGAGTGTTATACAAATCAAATATAACCAGTGGACAGTCAATAAACATCATAAGCATCATACTTCCATCAGTGCATCAATCACAAAATATAGAAAAACAGTACTTCCATATGTCCAATTTGTATACATTCAAAATATTTGTGTAATTTTAAATCAGTCATTCCAAAAATGAAGAGTCAGTTCGAATCGTACCGGGAATTGAAGCATAAATATATATATGTATAAAAGTTTATAAAAAACAGATGTTAACACTTTCACTTTACCCACTAAAGTTCGGTGAAGACTATATATATGTTGCCTATAGTAGTAGTAACAACTTAAGTAATATACAAATGAAATATGCAAATTAACAATCGTCAGCTTTCTTTTTTTGTTGAAGTTAGAAATTAAATGAGAAAGTGTTTGTTAATTTCAACAACAAAGAAAAAAAATATAAAGGAAACCATGTACAAGAGTTGGGAAGGAATACAAAAAGAAGAGGATTTTCTAAAAAGTACTCATTGCATTAAAAAAAATAACAGCAACAAATATAGATTGATGATAGTGTCTTTATGTACACAAATATTAAATATACACATATGCATTCTTGAATTTGTTCTTAAACAATACTTCGGGTAAAAACAGAGACCACATTTTAAAGCTAACTGATCAATAAGGGAGATTTCAAATACAATAAAGTGAAATTAGAAAACTGTCTTTTAGATTAGTACATACGCATGATGAATACGTATGTATGAATCGTATTAACTTTCAAACAAAACAATTTAAAAAAATGAAGGGAAATAAACGCATCAAGGATGATATTGAGCAACGAGATAAGTCATACTTACTTAGCAGACTAGGCACAATGTAACGATATAAACTGATCCGATTCGTAGGTTATTGCTGCTACCACTCACAAAATATGCAGTTATTCACAGAAGCCCAGCATATATATGCCTTGAATAAATCACTGAATACAAATTAATGACAGTAGTCTTTCTAAATAACTTGAATAAACAGACTGCACTGAGTTATTTTGATTTTTTTTACTTTGGATAGTTATGTTATGGCTTACTGAGGATGAGAAAATCGGGTAGCACCTGATCCAGCAACCATTCCTTGGCCGGGTTGAGGATGTGCTACAGAGAAATCTAGGCCAGCGGACATCGTTGTATGGTGTGGATCTAGCTGGGAAGTAAGTAAGTTTGTGTAATTTAGATGTGTGTGAGATTGGGTTTGGTGAGGGTTCGTACCAATTGTCCCAGTCGTGCCGCTACCAATCATACGTGTGGCAGCTCCTGGTGCTGCAGCAGGAGTACGGATACTTTGATTTACTTTGTTGGGATTAATTACTCCACAAAACTGATTAGCAGCTAGATTAGAATATGCCCCTAAAAAGAAAGCAAACAACACAATATGACATCTAGCACAAGGGTAGCTATGAATTTTCTAGTTGTAGTTCAGAAAATCCGGTTTAACAATCCAAACTTTGCAGAAAACAATGCTGTGTCAAGTACAAACAAAAATACAGGTCTGATTGTTTAAATATTTCTGTAAGCACAGCACTAATTACTATTTGGACAGTAGTAAATCACATGAAATGTACTAGTAATGAAAAGTAACAGTATATGGAACACTACACTACTTAGTAATAAAATGGTCACAAAAATGATCCTAATCTGCATAAGCGTCCTTTACTTGCATACACTCTTACCCTAGATAATTCGTTTTTGGCTTGCATTTCTACACCTCAGAGAAGAAATGAGATCTCATGAATTTCTAAATGATAAGCAGATATGCCATATATATATGCTTTTAGATCCAGTCGGACGAAAATTTTGATATGCGCCTTAAAAATGGTAATCTCGGAAAATATGGAAATACATTTTAGAAGTGACCAATTATACAAAATACACGTACTAGAAAGCAGTACATAGCATAAAATCTATCCAAAAAAAATACGAATTCAGAATGTAATGCTGCGTAGTAATACGAGGATCAGAGACATTTTGCAATAAAAAGCATCAGTGTGTAAAAACGTAGGCTAGATACAAAAATTGACGTCTCACAACCCTTCAGAATTCTTACAAAATTATCTGAAGTAAAACTGAACAAGTGCAGCCAACTGAAATGTGATTAAGTATCAGTTTAACCATTACAATCACAAAGATTCCATAGAAAAACACTGTCCTAATTCGTAAATACAACCATGATAGCATACCACTCAACAAAACAAAAAATGTATACCACTATAATGGTGGTGTTATTAATATTAACTATTCCACAATACACAGATTATTCAAATTCAGAACACTCGCTGTATATATGATGTAAAAATAATTAGTGCAAATACACGGATCTGTAAAATCTGGAAAAACTGATCTCACTATTTAATGCGACAACTTTTAACGCAACCAAGAGAATGATTATGATCTAGAAAAATCATGTTGGGAGTAAGTCTGTACCGAAACAAATTTAGACTAGTTTGCTAAACCACAAAAGCGACACCCAAAAAACGTTAACAGGACATTATTATTCACCCCCGTATAGATCAAAAGGAATGCAGCAATATTTCGACCAAGTCAAAATAGGTCGTCATTTCCGAAACAACTAGTGATGTTCTTGGGTGATGTCGATTTCAGGGTTGCAAACATTTAACATAAACGGATGTGGAGAATAATGGTACAGGTAATTTAGAGAACAATGAACAACTAACAAAAAATTCAATATGCCGTCTAAGCATTACGATAAGCACGTCTGTTACTTTTTTCTAACCTCTCTATGCTGTATCCCAAGTCTAACAGCACAAATTAATGCATTTTCAACCGTCCAAGTGAGATTGAATCCGAAACCATGATCTAGATAACTTCCGAAATGTTCATCACTTTTGTTGCTTACCAGAAAACATGATAAGAGCTGGCCACTCGACATGAGTGTATTGAATGCAAGAACTGTAGCCGGTGTTGACACCTTAGTCAGTTAATCACACGCAAAGTAGGACCAGGGACATATTATATAGGTTCAAATTGCCAGGCACTATTAGCATAGAGGGAGGTGGTAAATTTTACTGGTAATAGAAAAGCTGAGATCTGACGAAGAAATTCAAGAATATATGTTATCGGAGAGAAAAATATTTATAAGTATGGAGACTTAAGGTTCAACAGGAGACAAAAGTAGGCTTGTGCTGCCGCAAACGACAGCTAGTCATGCCATCTAAAGGTTCTAACTATAGGTTACGATAATCACGCTGACCACAACCAGATAATCCTCACCTGCATACATGGACCAGTACAAGCCAGTATCTTAATTAACTGATGCACGTCATGGTCTTACCACCCTAAATTCCCTCCAACCTACTCTAACTATCTATCGAAACTTCAGTACTCCACCTAACATTATAGAGTCTGACAAGGATTAAAGATGATCATGTACATTCCATGCATGAACTAAGCTCAAGTATTCTAAACGTAACCATGATCCTATCACATGTGAGACCCTTCATAATTAGAAAACTATTTATTCATACACTGGTGCATAAAGAGATTACGCACCAAAACCTACTATCCAAATTTATTTCTATGTAAACATCAAGACTAAGGAACGAATAAAGTATAAACCAATGAGAAAACTTTGGGACCACATGCACTTACCATAACCTGTTGCAGCAGCAGCTGCTGCTGCGTTTCCGTAGTAATCATATCCATAATAGTTGTACGTAAAAGGGTCAAAGCCGGGGTAGGCGTTTGCGAAGTCACCATAAGCATATCCTGGATAAGAGAAGTTGGGGTCCAGCCAGTTATACCATTGTTTCAAAGCTACTAAAACAAAATAACTATAAGCCCAGACAAACCTTTTTGTCTGTTGGCTTGATCTCGTGTAACAGCCACCCTAACATCACACTAAAGAAAGAATTCATCGTTTAGTTTTGATGGAGACAAAACATTGTTACCAATCAATTAATAGACGACCTACCTGCCGACCAAAAATATCTTGACGCTCCTTTGAAATAGCTTTTTTAGCAGCCGCTTCGGTAGAAAAACTAACGAATATGTAATGTTTTCTTTTCCCTTTTTGAGTGTCATAAGGCAAATCTAAGGACTCAACCTATCGAGGTTCCAATAAAAGTGTGCTGACTTACTTTTCCAAAACTGCTAAAGTATTCCCGTATTTGGTCTTCCGTTACTTCGGGATCAATACCACCAACGAAAATCTTCTTCAAGGGTTCTCGGGAAGGTTTCGCTTTTTTAGGGTCAATTTTCTTATTCTTTAACCAGTGCTCAGAGACACTGAGAACCTACAAAGTTATGCAAACAACAGGAAGCACCTTCGAGACACAGTCTTCACTTTCCAAAGTAACAAAACCAAATCCCCTTGAATTTCCTGTAAACCTATCCAGTTTTATGATGCACTGAGTAACTTTTCCCCAGCGAGAGAAATATTCCTTTAAATCATCTGAGGAGATAGTAAATAGCAAACACGATACTTTACTTTCATTTGTTTCCCAGCTTAGACCACCGACAAACAGTTTCCTATCACCAGAAAATTAATAATAATAATAATAAAAGTACCTGCTATCGTCGTCGTTCTCGTCTGTTACTGAATCATCGGCCCCATTGGTAGGTTTCTCGTCACAATCGAGAGGTGAGAGGGGATTTGGGGAATTTTCACTTAATCCATTAGCACTGTCAACTTGATGTTGTCCTTTGGACTCATCAACCATATCAGAAATCTCTACTGATGGCATCAATGGAGATAAGATGGAAACCGCCAACCTCACCACTTTAAACAAATGTACATTTTCATCCATCAGTTAACTGGTTTATAAGTCTATTAACTTGTGTTATTCTCTGGAGTGGGTACCACCATGAGAATTCGATTGCTCTTAACAAATGTGCCTTGAAACCCCATTGGACGCAACAGTGCTCACTTCAAACATTCTCAATATGCGTAACAAGTTAACAGTGACAAATACGTTTCCTTCTGTTTGGAGCTTAATCTTAACTAATGCTTTCAGGTCTTTTGCACCGCGTGACTTGGTTATTTAACCATTAGGCTCCAGTAATCCCAATGCATAAGGGATCTCATCCCCAATTTGCTCGTTGTCAGTTTCTCATCCCTTTCGTAAATCCTTCAGAGGAAGTCAGAACCTTGAGAATAGGAGAAGCATAGCATTAGTTTTTGAGTGATTATCTATGACACGGAATATCATTTCTCATATTATAACGTGACTCTATATAAGTAATTTGACTGAGTAATTTTTTTTTGAAAATATGATGAGAAACTTAATAACAACGATGTACATGGATTCAACAATAATCACCTACTACCAGTCTGAGGTTTTTGAGGAAACATAGTTCATTAGGTTATCAACACTTCGTGTGATTTCCATTCGTTTGATTCATTAAATTAGAGTAAGGTAACCAACCAATGACCTCAGCTACTGAGTTTCAAGGTATACTAATAGGACTTCCCGTACACGCTTCCAGCCATCCGGTCACGTTAGCTCTCCGTCTTTCGTCCTCATTTTCGCAATTCAGGATAGATATCTTAAGGATTCATTATTAGGCCTCTGAAATTTGTCTTTCTGTCTTTCGAAAATGTATTTTAAAATATTGACATCCTGGGTGCATAACTCAAAATAAATTTCACGTGCTTTGACTACAATATCCCGGGCATAAACCTAGCGAAGCATTGAGGGGGTGGAGAATACATCAGCGTTCTTACCACTCAAGGTTTACCCCCTTGAGGATAACGCTTTCTGAGAACTTACGTTTGGGGATTTCTGCTTTTACTTATATTTTATTCCCCGTCACAGAGTTAGTGCATTAGTCTGACCTTCTGAAAGCATGTAAAGCCAAAGCTAATGAATGTTCACATGAAACCAACGTAAAATAACTCACTTAAACCTTCATTAAAGTCAATGAATACGCTATGATGTTGCATTTTATGTTCACCTGTCATCCAGCTTTATCTCATTAAAAACATATTCCGCCAAACAAAACCATTCGTTACTGTGAAGACCTGTTGCGACGACATGAAAACCTGTGCTCCAACTTGGCTTACCAAGATCTTCAGAAATATTTCCGAATATTTAATAGCTATCAATCCAATTGACAGTATGAAGAGAAAATTAATGTTTCACCACTCCATCACTGAAAACGGGATTGAATATGGTTTTAAGAACCACGTTTCCTGAAAAAGTGTAACGTGATGAACTGGTCCACCAACACATACGGGCATTGAAAAAAATATATCCAAACAAAATAACATACTGGGCCTATTTTAACAACCGTTTTCGCAAACTCGCCTTGTAGACACGTGGTGATGATGAAAAGCTAATCTGTTTTAACGAACACTGCCAGATGAGCGATCTCGGTTAAGCTTTCATGCCATATCTCAAATCTGCTTCTTTGTATTTACGATCTAATTTATTGTTTTCTCTGTCCACAACCTCCCTCTCCTTGACCTTTATTTCAAGTGCATTTTTTAGAGGATGGCTATATCATTAATGTCTGCTTTGGTGGAGTCATTGTCTCCTCATCACCAATAGAATGGATGAATCTGTAACAGCCTAAGTTGGGTGACTGCAAATTAGTCAAGAACTTCCTCTTAAGATTAAAACAATAATATCAAAGTATCCCTAATTTGTGTAAGCATTACATTTCATACTATATTATTTTTATTGTTGGAAAGTCTGTGTCTCGAAACAAGACACTCTCGTACCAACTGTCCTGATCCATGACTGTGTAGTAAAAGCCTACCACAATTATAAGAGGGTTGTTTTGTCCCTTTACGACTATGGATAAATCAAGGTCCCACAAGTCCACTGCAAAATCTGAAGACCCTGAAAACCGGAGATTTTGAGAACGGACATTTGTGTGACAGTCCTTGGAATTCGATGTACATATTTTCATAAACATTTTAGATCATAGTTTCAGAGAACATGGACCACCTTCTGAAGCCATATTTTGTCATTTTTATGTTAAGATACTTGAAGAGCCTTCGTTTTTTGACGTATTGTATAGGCAAATATTAACGTGAAGTACCCAGTTTAATGGATAATCAAGGTCAGTGAAACGACACTGAACCTCAGATAAATCAAATATTCGTGCTGAACGAATTACAACCTCAAAAAACTAGTTACTCGACACTGCGATTTACCTCAAAACTGGTCAAGGTCAAGGATAGCTAACACGAATTATCTAGTGGACTTCATAGCGCATACATAGTTAACAGTTTGGTCATAAACTTTTATCACTGTACTTTGTGAATCTATTCCACCAAATAAACCATCTCTCTTGCAAGATTCTGTCTATCCCCTAGGTGAACTAAAACACTGGAGACCTTCCACCTAGGTCTAAGGAGCCAGGCTAGCAAAATAATGGCATTGTGTCACCCCAACCTAGGTTCTTGTCGTTTGGATTGTTAATCATTCCAGTCAACACTGGTTTATTCAGACTGTTGGTCGTGTAAAATGGGTGAATTCACCATATAGAATATAGTCTAATACCTTGCAAGTCGCCACCTGCAGGTGCCCTCGTTGGTACCAGTGAACTGAAATCACTGAGGGCCCATGGTCGAGCATCTATATCAGATTCGGTACCTCATTGTTTAGCTGAGAAACTCCTTTATCTTCTGGTTATCCGGCCTTACAACTTCACAACTATGTAAACCTTGACTTGAAGAGAGTTATTGAGCCATTTTTGCGTTGTCATGTTACTAACCAACAACATAATGAGCTCATGCACACTGGCCAAATATAACATAGAGGAGGTCTTATGTCATTTTTACCTAATTCTTCCTTACCAACCTCGTCCATAAAGTGTTCGATGGTCATTTATTGCCATGAATGAATTATGTATCCCTAGATTGTCTGGCTGACAACCATAAATCACCATGTATAAAAGCAAGACAGATCTGGTTTTAGATCCAAATGTTGCGTGATAACTCCCCCAATATGAGTAAACTTCATATGACGTTCTGACGTATACTGATGCGTATATGATGCAATCCCACGAATATTATCCAAACGCTTAAAATCCACTACACAATCGTATGTACTCAATCGATTCCCGATAAGGAAGGCACTACTCCTGGATAAAAGTGGTTGTTCTGATTTGTACCAACATGGAGGTGAAAACAGTGACTGACATTTGAAAATGCAGCGGCTGTTATGAGTTAGCAGAACCTCATAGTTCGGAAAAAACGGGTTGTCTCAGACTCAGTAGTAGATTTCAAAACACACCCCTCTTTATTAGCTACTGTCGTGTACTGCCTAATAACTCTCATATGAGTTCCTTCAAACAGATTTGAAATCGATCAGAAGGAGTTTTGTGGAGATTTCAGTATTTTCATAGTTGGATGCCGGCTCAGTGGTCTGTCGGTTAAGTTCTCCGGCGCGAGACTGGTAGGTTCTGGGTTCGAATCACGCGAGGTGGGATCGTGAATGCGCACTGCTATTGCAGAAATATATTATTATTATTACGTTTCATGGACCTCAACAGATTAACTCAAGCTCGATGATGCCTTCTATGTAGCTCTGACTGTGTTTTAGTACCAGTTTACAGGTGAGCTTGAGGGATCATGTGCTAAATTTTAAAACCTGACTAACAAATACGAAAGATCGTACTGAATTTCCGTACGCTGAATAGCCCCTTACTTGTCAGACAAGAAATGATTTCAAAACCATTCTTCTTCAGTGATCGTTGTTTCAGTTTCTAGTAGGATAAAGACAAGACATTGTAACTCCCAATTCAGACTGCGAAATTCCAGTGCTGTCGCAGTGAAAGAACACATTGGTAGGAACAACCAAATGCATGTTTCAAACAAAATAATAGAACCTTTTGGTTATATATGAGAACCATACATCGAATGCTTCATTTGAAAAACTCCATCATTCGTCCTTGATATTATGTATATATCTTCCAGTTCACCATTCCTTTCTATTTCATTTTATGTTTTCTATTCGATTTGATCTTCTTAGCTCCTGCTGTCAAGGTTTCCACTTTCGATTGGTGTTACATACCACTTATATCTGTCGACATAGGTGGCATACATAACAATATATGCATATAGCCTAAGTAACTTTCATTTCTCTCTGTTTAACAGATGTTGAAATACTAGGATCACTGTTATAAAAGCCGGGAGCGGTTCTCAAATTGTTAGTATTATTCATGTTTCTGCTATGTATATGTTAAATGACTAGACTACTATGTTTATATATTCTGTTTATCATAAGGTTCCATCTAACACATTAAGTTTCACTATACTGCTTATTGCTCGTATTTTATGGTCCATTGGTTATTCGCGACTACTTTTGGTGCACTTATATTGATAATTATTATCTTAAATTCTATGTTTATATGCGAACCCACGTGTATTGAAATCTGATAATTAAAGAAACTGGATGAAGACCTTTTAAACTCAAAGAAGAGCATAACAAAAATTCCTGCAAAATGAGGACCGATAGGAGTTTAATTGCGTTAGATCAAGTTCAGTGGTGTTGGTAAGACATCTAATTGGTCAAGCCTGCAACACGAGGTTATAGAAAAAACGGTAGACCCGGAAAGGAGAAAACTGGAATTGGAATTGTTATAGGTAACTTTAGAATGCAGCATTGATCAACATCTTAAGAAAATAACCACAATGTCAGTCCATTAAAACTCAGTTTAAATTCACAAAGTCATCTTTAAAAAGTCATAGACTTTGGACTTGGGTTTAAATCAAGAGCTTGCTAGCGCCACTCAATTACTTACTTACTTACTTACGCCTGTTACCCCTCGTCGAGGAGCATAGGCCGCTCACCAGCATTCTCCATCCAACTCTGTCCTCAGCCTTCCTTTCCAGTTCTTTCCAGTTACTATTCATCCTTTTCATATCGGCTTCTATTTCCCGGCGTAGTGAGTTCTTTGGCCTTCCTCTTTTCCGCTTCCCT